CCTCTTCAGAAATAACAACATCAGTGATCGCCAGCAGCGCAGAAAGTGCTGAACACCAGGCGAAATAAACGCCTGAATTATCATATGCAGCCTTTGAAAAAGCTCACCGTTGCCATCCGATAATAACGACTGATATCCTAACATATGGGAGAGGATAGAATAAGTGCGGAAATGTCGACCAACCTTCGCGATTTTGTCGAAATGTAGACAGAATTCAGCACTTTTCGCAGCTCTCCGTCGCCATGTTTGGGTCAGAACTGCGCATGCGCATACGCATACGTATGTTATTCTGCATTGTGAAAATCTATTACTCAATTTATTCAAATGAATGGAGTCGTAAGCATGGTTTACATTACGCTTATTATAATTATTTAATTAATAACTAATTGATTATAACCAGTTATAACGTACGCAATTTGTAGATACTAAGACTGTTTAGTCAGTTAATGAAGATGTTTTTATTGTTTGAATACATGCCTGTGTAGTTTTATCGTGTTCACTTGTTTACGTGACTAGCCTGCTAACAAAATATGTTCTAAGAACGTTTTGCTATTGTTCCCATTTATGTGGGCCGTATTAAAGCGTTATTTCTTAATGTTTTCTGAACCCTTATTTATTTTCCTTCTTTCTTTCTTTTGTATTTTACGAATGTTAAGGGAACATTCCATTTTAGAATGTTGTAAACATTAAAAGAACTTAACTTTTGAACGTTACCTGGACGTTCTGAAACAAATAATAACGTTAGAAAAATTCTAGTTAAACATCTGTAGGCTAACTAAAACATTTCAGGAATAAAACGTTGCATAAATGATATATAAATAGCGTTGTTGTCCTGACGTTTTGAGAACGTTATTGAAAACCAGATGACTCTGAACGAACGTTTTATTAATGTTACGTTTGTTCATAATTTTAAATGTACAGTTTTTGGAAATGAAAAATATCAGTTAATGATATATATATATATATATTTATTTATTTATTTATAAAACTGTAAATTTAAGTTAAAATTAATACGATAATATCATAATTTTGAGAGAACCTTCAGAACGTTAACTGCATTTCTGAGAACATTTCTTGTTAGCTTGGTATTCCAAATACATAATGAAGTTGGAATTTTAATTTTCTTAAAATCTAACATCACTAAAATTAGGTATTTAATTTTATTTCTCTGTGTACACATCTGTCACTAACAGAAAAAGGTACTGTTTTTGCAAAAAGTATATTTTTTTCATAAAGTATTTCCATCTCTCCATCGTCTGACATCTTAATACTCGCTGTTCTTCATTAGTCCACTAGGTGGTGTGAGTGACAGGTGAATATATTAAATTCATTAACTAATATATTCAGCGTTTTGTCAGTGTCATACAAGTTATTTTTTTAAATATATATATACAATATATTAATTTAACATTGATAATAATCAGAAATGTTTCTTGAGCAGCAAATCAGCACTGATGAGCTTTGTAAAAATCGACGCGTTTCAAAAAGGCGGGGCATAGAGGAGAAACAATAATGCACAGTATGTGGAAAATAATGTGTTTTTTTTTACTTTAAACCGCATAAACACATTTCATTACACCAAATACACAAAATAATGTTCTTTTTAGCAGCATCATATGACCCCTTTAAAGATGATTTTCTCAATATTTAGATTTTTTTGCACCCTCAGATTCCAGATTTTCAAATAGGCCAAATATTATCCTATCATAACAAACCATACATCAATGAAAAGCTAATTTATTATTTAAAAAAATGGATCTTTATGACTGGTTTTGTGGTCCAGGGTCACATATATGAATCACATGGCAATTCTGCCATTTCCAGCACATCTCAAATCATGTATTATGTAACATGGTGTGATGGAAATTACATAAAAAATTTTTTTTGGAATTGTATCATGGCATCCTAATGTTATGGATACAATTTTATGTTGGCAAAATGCGCCTAATTAAATAATGTTTTCATACTTTTAGCATAATTTGACAGAATTACAGCTTGTTTGGAAATTACAATAGAAATTTCAAGTTTTGGATGAGGATAAATTAAAATCTAGGCCTATAACAGGCATGTGACGGAAAGAAATGTACAAGTTTTGTTGTGATTGTCATGTTACAAAAAGAAAAAAAAAACATAATTTAGGAACATAAATGTGCTAAACAAAAAACAGCCTTTAATGTCTGTTGCTCAAATTTGCTATAGACCTTATAGACGTCGTTTTCTGTTTTCCGGTTTGTATTTCCACAGCGTTAAGGTAAAGTCATACAAATTTATTAATCATTTTAAAATCTTTCCGTTCTACAACATTACATTACAATGCACATGATAACTGTAGTTACGTCTACAATAAAGATCCACTTCACCAGCTAATTACACTTCAACAGTGATGCCATAGAAATGCAAAAACAGAAGTTCAAAGACAAAATTTGTTTCTCTGATACATAAGGTCTATATCAGTAACACATTTACAGTTGTTTTGAAATCTATCTAAATGGTGTAAATTTAACTGTAAACGTTTATTGTAATTTTAACTTTAAAAGACTGTAAAGATGCTGCGGTAAAAATTCGTTAACATTAATTTACTTTATATGCTGTAAAACTATAGCCAGATATTTCATGTAGTTTTACAGTGAAATTCTGTTAAATGTACAGTTTTTGGAAATGAAAAAAGAAAAAAAAAAGTACATTGACATTCCCAGAATTCCCTGTGTGACACATTTGGTGCTTTTTCGTTTAAATAATTTTGTTTCTTCATAGTTATGTTTCTTCAAGCGTTTTTAAGTTTGTTTCTTTTTTGTTTTTACTTAGTTGTTACAAAACAGGTTTTTAGTACTTTGGTATATTAACGTTATATCAGTTAATGAGATATATATATTTATTTATTTATAAAACTGTAAATTTAAGTTAAAATCGTAAAATTTAAAATATTGCTACTGTATTTTTAAGGTAAGATTCTGGTAACCACAGCTGCCTTTTTTACAGTAAAATTGCATTATTTATTTATTTTTATTTATTTATTTATTACATTGTAATGTTAGGTGGCCAGACTAGTGTTTTTTACTTTTAACTTGTAGGTGAAAAGCATCTCTCAAACAGTAAAGCTTGACGCTAGCAACACAAAGATCTCGGGTTACATTGTCAGGGCATGAACCTGACAAAATGAAAATGAAAGTTTTTCAGCATTTACTTTTTTTCTCATGCATGATAGGGATTTTAATAAACGCAGCTTCTATGGGTGAACTGAACACCATAACATTGCTATTAAATGACTCTCATTCCTCTGATTCTGACAAGTGAACGGGTGTTTTGCATCTGATGAAGTTGTCTGAGGTTGGAATCAGATATTTTGAGCCTGCATCCCTCATGTTTTACATGTCCGTTCAGCTTTTGAGGTCATGATGACCTTGTATGCGCTTAGTCTGGGCTCTGCTTGCGTTGAAGTGAACGGAAGTCATTGATTCTCTTCAGCTCTTAGAGAAGAATCCTCTGTTATTGTCTCTTAAAGGTGCATTACGCTGCAGGGTTTTACTTCAAAACAACCTCTTATTTGAATGAAGTTAAAGGTGAAGTGTGTCAGTTTATTTGGATGTTAAAATACTTTCTTGTATGCTAGCTTAAAGGAATAGTTCACCCAAAAATAAAGTTTGCTGAAAAGGTTCTCACCCTCAGGCAATCAAAGATGTAGATGAGTTTGTTTCTTCATCCGATTTGGAGAAATGTAGCACTTGCTCACCAGTGGATGTGAATGGGTGCCGTCAGAATGAGAGTCCAAACCGCTGATAAAAACATCACAATCCACACCACTCCAGTCCATCAGTTAATGCCTTGTAAAGCCAAAATCAGAGTGTTTGCATGAAACAAATCCATCATTACGACATTTTTAACTTCAAACCATTGATTACGGCTAAAGCATGAGTCCATAATCCATAATGTTGCTTCCTTCAGTGAAAAAGTGATCTGCTCTGAATCAGGAGAGGAATCAAGCCAAAACAGCTCTAAACAAATATGTGGATGGATTTTGATGTTAGAGACAACAGGATAGGGACTTTTTTCACTGGAGGAAGCTTTATTACGGATTATGAACTCGTATTTTGCCTAGAAGCAATGGTTTGAAGCTAAAAACATCTTAATGATGGATTTGTTTCTTACAA